GCAAAATATCTTATCCGAAAACAAGATGGGCTCAAATGTGAAGGCTATAGGAACATGCATTGTAATTTAAAGTTGTGGCTTTGTTTCGAAATTAGATATGACATTTTGTGTTCCAAGTTTTTCACGAAACTTGATTTCTATTTTCAGACTTGTACCCATGGGATATTTCTTTAATTTTTCAAACACACCATTTAGTTTATTATATAATTCTGATTATGTTGGGAATTGTATTTTATCTGATGATCTTTATAATACTAATTTACAAAATTATATCACTTATAGTTCAATAATGTTTACCTTGGCAATAAGCGATGTAATATTAACGAAGACTCCTCTAGGTTGTGATATCGGAGATTAGAATGCATCTCTATAGAAAGAATCAACAGAATAGTAAATGATAGGGTATTTAGTACTCTTGATTTTACTGATTTTTACACATGTGTAGACTGCATTAAGGGAAAACAGACCTACAAGACTAAGAAAAGTGCCAATAAGAGTTCGGATTTATTAGAAATCATACATACTGATATATATATATATATATATATATATATATATATATATATATATATATATAGAGTCCAGACAAAGACTCACATAGTCAGAAATATTTCATCATCTTTATTGATGATTATTCATAGGATATGTATCTCTAATTACTTCATAATAAGAGCGAAGCATTGAATGCCTTAAAAACCACAAAGGCGAAAGTAGAGAGAGAATGTGAGAAACGGATTAGGATCATAAGATCAAATAGAGGTGGAGAATATTACAGTAGATACACGGAGGATGGACAAGCACCTGGTCTGTTTGCTAAGTTTCTTCAAATATGGGATAGTTGCCCAATATACCATGCTTGGTTCATCAAACCAGAATGGTGTGGCAAAAAGAAGAAATAGAACCTTAGGCATGTTTAGTGACTTCAATCTTCCTAAATCCTTGTGGATTGGAGCACTTAAGACTACAATGTATATATTAAATTGAGTTCCAACTAAGGCCATCCTAAAGATACTTTTTAAATTACTGAAAGGTGGGAAACCAAGTTTGCAACATCTGCGCGTTTTGGATGTCCATCTAAAGTAAGGATCTATAATCTACAAGAAAAAAGATGGACCCAAGGACCATTAGTAAGTATTTCATTAGATATGCGGAAAAGTCTGAAGGATAAAGAGTTCCTGAGCATGATCATTTAGAATCTCAACCTTCCACCTCATATGATAGATTAGTCATAGTTCATAGCACCCTCCGAGTACAAACAGGCATCGAACAACCAATCATTGAAATTTCACCAGCTACTGACAATGTTCAAGTAGATCAAATAACTTTGAAATTACTCGAGCCTCCTGAACAAACAATTGAACCACATGCTTCTCAGGAATATGATGGTTCAATATTAAGAAGATTTACTAGAATCAAAAGGTCAGTAATCCTCAGTGATTAAAAATTGAACCTACAAGAACCTGACCACAGTGTTGGAGCAGAAAATGATTCCTAATCATTTCCACAGGCCATGAGTTGTAAAGAGTCAAAATCATGGTATAATGCCATGAATAAAGAGATAAGTTCCATAAAGAGTAATGGAGTCTGGGATCTTGTTGAGTTGCCTGGTGGTGCCAAAGTTATTGACTGTAAATATGTCTTTAAAACAAAGAAATACTCATTAAGTAATATTGAGAGATACAAGACAAGACTTTTTGCTATGGGATTTACTCAAAATGATGGAATCAATTACACGGAGACCTTTTCTCAGTATGCAAAAAGGATTCTCTACGTATTATTTTGGCATTAGTAGCTCAATTTGACCTTGAGTTATAATAAATAAATGTGAAAACAGCATTTCTCAATGGTGATTTAAGAAAGAGGTTTATATGTAACAACCTAAAGAATTTCCCTCTAACTATAGTGAGCACTTGATCTGTAAGCTTAAGAAATCTATATATGGTCTAAAACAAGCATCCCGTCAATGGTATTTTAAATTCCAGGGAATAATTTCTTCATTTGGATTTGTTGAAAACCTCATAGATCAATGTATATACTAGAAGGTTAGTGGAAGTATGTAGATAACATTTTACTTGCAACCAATGCTAAGGGTTTGTTGCATGAGATGAAACAACTCCTCTCTAAACATTTCGATATGAAGGGTATGGGTGAGACATCTTATGTTATTGGTATTAAGAATCATAGAGACATCTTACGAGGTATTTTGAGTTTGTCTCAGAAAACCTATATCAATAAAATTTTAGAGAAAATTTCAAATGAAGGATTGTTCACTAAGTGTAGCTCTCATTGTGAAGGGTGATATGTTCAATTTGAATCAACACTCGAAAAATGATCTAGAAAGGGAAAAAGGATAACATTCCATAGCCGTTGTTGGAAGCCTAATGTATGCTCAGATGTACTCAAGAACTAACATTGCATTTGTTATAGGAATGTAAGGATGATATCAAAATAATCGAGGTATGGACTACTGGATAGCATCAAAGAAAGTAAGTGCTAAGCAAACCTTTATTACTATTTCCACTATGAAAGATGTGTTCGTTTCTTGTTTTGAGGCTTCTTCGTACAATGTATGGATCAAGAATTTCATATTTGTGCTTAGAGTTATGGATTCCATTTCTAGGCCATTGAGAATTTATAGCGACAATTCAATTGTCGTCTTTATGGCTAAGAACAACAAAAGTGGTAGTCAAAGTAAACATGTTGACATTAAGCATTTAGCCATAAGAGAACGTATTAAAGAAAAGAAAGTGGTCATTGAATACGTAAACACTGAATTGATGATTGCCGATCATTTGACTATAGGCATGCCACCATTGAAATTCAAGGATCATGTAGAGAAAATGGGGCTTTGTTCCACTATGTAATGGTACACAATTTATGTATAAAACTCTTATTTATTGTGATATTTTCTCATATTCATGCACATCTTAATTTATATGAGTAAATGCATTTATATAGGACCAAGACTAAGACATAGGAAATACATTTATATAGGACCAAGACTAAAACATAGGTTCTTTTCATTAAATATTGTTATCTTTTGAAGAATGATTCTTGGGGAACTAAATGCATCATAATACATGGAAGTTAATACTCAATATTAAAGGATTCATCGCCATGATTTATGTATTTGTTTCTTAAAAATGACAATCGATGGAATTAAGTTGAGACATTAGGTTAAATGTATGAACCAAGTGGAAAAATGTAACAGATCTGTTCCTTTCCATCTCTTCAACAGTCAATTGATGGTTCAACATTCACGAAGTTTTCAGGTTTAACATTAATAGGAGCCCTAATTCTACCATTGATTGGAAAATTTGTAACTTAAGCAATAACTTGGTGGGAGTTTTAGCTATATATATGAGGAAATTTCACAAAATGTCCATTTTTACCTAGTCATTTGCAAAAATGTCTAATTTGGAAGAATTTAGACCAAAATACCCTTATTAACAATTTATAATTTCACACTAAGAGAAAAAAATGGACATTTTTACTATATTGTTATTGACCAATAAAATTTTGACACAACCTGTCATATTTATTTCAAAAAGTATACATGTTAAATTACAATAAATGCTATGTTTTTTATTGATTCAGAAATGTCGAGAACAACATTTTTAAATGTAGAGAAATTTCATGTTCAAAATGAAATGTCATTCTAAACAAATGAAATAGTATTCAAATGTCGAGAATGACATATGAAATGTCGAGAAACATCATTTTAATATAGTTTCTCATGGAAGCAACTTCTCAAAATTCGTGACAAATTGATAAAAAAATCAAATGTTGAGAACATCATTTTAAAATGTAGCTTTTCATTAAGGGCATAATAGATAAATTGACACTAAATTCAAATGAGCAGACGCTTTTCAACTCATGCCCTTAAAATTAGACATTTTTAAAAATGCCCTATATATAGATGGGTTTGCTCCTTGATCTCTACCATCGTGAATACACATTATATACTATCAATTTCACTATGTTGAGAGCTTGGAAGTGCCCGTACTTGGAACAACAAACATCTAAAACGACTATTATCATGACATAAAAGCAAAATAATAATAATAATAATAATAATAATAATAATAATAATAATAATAATAGCATATTTATTTTGTAGTATATGATTTGAAGACAATGGAGAAAGAAAGAAACTTATAAATAACAATGACAATGAAATCAAATCAATATGCTAATTTGAATTTTCAAAATTTTAATTCAGAAAGAATGGGTTAAAAAAAAAATATGGTAAATTATTGTTGTAAGTGAAATTTGAAAAGACAAAAAGACTTTTCGTTTGGTTAAGAAGACAAAAGGGATGTTTAAAACATAAAGAATCAAATTAGTTATATAGAGAGAGAGAGTGCTTTTTGTAATATATTTATGTGATAAATAAATTTAAGTAATAAATTTTATGCCATTTATATGTTTTTTTTAAAGATTTCTGCATTTTTTTTTAATTTTTTATTAGTTTCTTGTGTTTGCATATAATCATTCTATTTTAAAGAATATTATAAATGTATTTTTTTATTTTTTTCAACCAACCAATAATCCTTGCATAATTTGGAGCTTTCACCAAAGCGAGACCTTAAGCAAATCGCCTACCTCACCTATAGTCAAGGTTGTCACTGTTTAAGGCCAATCATTAAACGGTTAAAACATGCAAAAAAGTTTGAAGCCAGTGAGCAAGGATTTTGGCACAAAACTGAGTAAACTGAAGGTAAGACAAACATTCAGAAACCACCTTGGAGATAAAGGACAAGGTGAAGGGTGGAATACTTCTGGATATTGTAATCAGCCAAAGTCCTTCCATCCTCCTTGGAGATCAAGAACACTGGTAATGCTGTTGCCAGAAACCACCTTTGGCTGATTACAATATCCAAAACCCCTTGGAGATGAAGAACGATGGTAAGGCTGTTGCCAGAAAGAAAAATCTGAAAAGCTTACTTAGAAAGGGGAACAGTAGGGTATTGAGACGAGATAAAAATGATGAATCGTAGTTTATCAAATAAAAATCTACTCTAGCCAACCAGATGAAAAAGTAGTCAGTTCCCACAATATACAACTTTAAATATGATGAATAGATATACCTCAGAACACAGAGGTTCCCTCGAAACAACAAAATTGATCTCAATGTCAAAAAATCAAATGCAACAGCCTAAATCACATGAGAACACCTTCAACATTGTTAAGGGCCTTCTTTGCCAGCTTGTATTTATTAGCCAGGAACTTGTTGATACTCAACACATGCTTGCTGATGAAATAGTCAATTCCAATTCTAAGGGATTCATACTCGGGGGTGACAGCAATACGTGTAAAAATGTTCCACACAAGCTTATCTGGAAACTCCAAGATTGCTTCAAATAGCATTCGGAAATGCATAATCTTCTTTGGAGTTAAGAGTATGGGGTTGTTTAGTTCAACAACTTTTAAGACTGCAAGGGAAAGGCAGAAAGTAGAAACCATTTCTGCAATAAATTTTGATAGATGCATTGATCTTTGCAGATCCATTGCCTCCAGTTCTTTGAAATGGTCCCACACACAATACTGCAAAGGAGAAAGAGAGAATACCACAAATGAATGGGAAAACAAATGGTTTAGCAAAAGCTGAATGACTTGCTCGTGTCACAAAATGAATAGCAAAGCAATAATATAAATCATCACATGCTAGCAATTTCTATCACATGCTAGCAAACATTAAATGCTACAACCATGTTAAAATGTTGTGCATAGAGATTAAAACCAAGTAGAACTACAGAGTAATCCTCATTGCAGATAAAATTGAGGTTGGATACATAAATTCAAGCCAATTCACTGTTGAGAAGAACATATTTTACGTAAAAGCTCCTAGTGTTCGATGTTCCAGTTTTTGTTTTGCAGTTGACTTGATTCAGACTATTTATGCTTATGCTTCTACAGATTACTATGAAATCTCAAGCCACTGTTTCAATGTAAAAATGTGCACAAGCATTTATATAATTTGGAATTATTTAAATACAAGCACACTATGCCTTAAATAAAGTTCTTCCGTTCCTACGTATTGAAAGCTTATATGCGCATCGATCTCTAAGTGCATATAAGCAATTCCAATACACCATACAAAAGCAGGGTGCACAAAACATACAACCACGAGACAAGTCATCTGTGTTTACATTTTGCAGAGGTGCAGATATTTCTTTTTTCAAAGAAGCCAAAAAGATGCAGATTTTTTCTTTTCATTTCAAGAAAAAAAGAGTGAGACTACTAATTATCTATATGTTCTTTTGTAATTAATTTGATGCAGTTTACATTCTTTACCTTTCAATCTTTCAATTCTCTGGTCCAATGTAATTGGGAAAGTGCATTAAGGATGCTAATAATTACCGCTACAGAAATGCTGGCCCCAAAAGGAAATGTCATACCTGTAAAGTGAACTTGAAGTTTTTATCATGGTTGCATAATTTGGAAGCAAGAACACAATAGTACTTGTTAAATACTTTCTCCTGTAAACAGCACTCCACAAGAACTCGCATGATCTCTCGATCCTAAAACACATACAAAAAAGTTAACCCATATTAGTAAAAACTTTAGATAATAAACAATAAAGAATGCAAAATGGAGATATTAACCAGCTTCCCAGGCAAGTCTAATCTCAGAAGTTTCTCGAAAGCATCAGCATAGTCCTCTCCACTCATTATCACACAAAATATTGCCCTTCTTGCATCTGTGTTCATCCTTTGTGCTGCAGCGAGCTGTAGCATTTTTTGCGTTTCGGAGACCTCTCTGTCAATTGTGCTAGCAACCTCCTCAATGTTGTGTGTCGAAGAATCAATATCACCAGACAACCACCACTGGCCTTTCTTGTTGGGGTCAAGAAGTTTACTCCATTTTAACCCTCGAATTAATATGTCAACTACTCTCAGCTGAAATAACACGACAATGCACAGAGGGGAATATTAATTTACGCACCACATGAAAGTTTAAAGTTATCACATTCTTTCGAAAATATACGACACTAAAAATATATCTCAACACAACTCTTATACAGACTTACTGCAATTAAAGAAAACCTTTGTTTGGTTGCCTTAAAATATGCTAAATATTCTCTCTTCAAAATCAAACATTGATTTTCTAGACGTATTCCGTAGGACCCACACATACTACCAATTTATCTACCATTCACTTCTACCAACTTATTATTTTAGTAACTAAGAGGGAAACCCAAAAAAAGGCTAATTATTTCAGCCATCAATTTCATTTTCCGTTGGAACTCATCTTTCTCATTCAAGCAAGGAGAAATTTATACAGGGATCTTAAAAATTCAAACGAAGTAAAAGAAATGTTAATATGCTGACATGGATAATATGTCATTGTAAAGATTGCATTAGCATATAATATAATGTGTGCGTGTGTGTGAATGTATTCTGGGTTTGCTTGTTAGCCTTTGTTTTAACACAACATGGACATGCCCACATCAAATATTCAGAAGAAAAGTAGGGCATAGACACATACATATTTATTAAAATATTGAAAAATATACATTATATCTGTTTGGCTTTGATTTTAAGTTTTACAAGTGAAATCGTTTAAATTCAAGGAATGGTTATTTGTTGTATCAAGATAACTTAGGAATGTACTTTGTATTACTAGTGCCAAGAAATTAACATCAAAAGTACATAGAGTGGACATAAAACCAATTCGAGATTCAATTTGCCCAATTTTTCTCCCATTTGTTGACTTTTTTACATAATTCTTAATAATAAATATTTCCCTTTACTTTATATTCAAAAACTCATAAAACTGATCTGATAATGGCCCTCACATGTTGGGCCATCTACCTTGCTAGTCAATATTGGAAAATATAAAAATAGGATATGTCACATGACACGTGTTCAGGACATGTCAGAACCATTTCATTTGCAAGTCAAAATTTAAAAAAATATATATAAAAGATAGAATGCGCCATGACCCATCGGTCATGTGTATCAGGGTCCAGAAAGTGCTACTCCGCCCTAGGAGCGTGTACTAAACAATTTTTAACAATGGTTCTTATACCAACTTGCATTATATTTATACTTCACGTAGTAAGAGCATGTGGTGGCAAAGATGTTAGATTGTGTCATACATAGGCAAAATAAGAAAAGGGTGAAAGAAATGTTCTCTGCAAATCCAAGAAAGTCAGGCTGAAAGTACCTCCTGTAACCATTTCTTTATTCTGGTATGCTGCACAGCATTTTCTGTTGGTCTTTTTTTGTTATTCTTTATATCACATATCATTTCAAGCATGAAATCCATCTGCAGAACTCCGAGAAAGTCAGTAGTACTTAAAACAAATCCCATGAAACCCACTCAAAAATTCAATATAAACATACCCTTTTGCTGGTTATATTTGATTGTCCATCTCCAGAACAGGCCTTCATCTCATTTACCCGACTCTGAACATTTGAGATGAAGTTTTTCATCTCAACAGGATCATCTCCTCTCAGTTTCATTCCACAAGCTGTTTCAGAAGCACTTTTAGATATTTTCCGAGCAGCCGGTACTAATTAATGAATTTTACATACCAAGAGCAAAACGAGTGACGAAATGTGCAATTAAGTACAAATGGTGATACCAAGGATCTTTTAAATAGAAGCTTTAAGATATCACAGATCCCTGTTGTTTCTTTCTATAGATTCATAGATAAGATTTTTATTGGATATGGCACCATGTGCTTCTTATAAATAATGATTAAGATCAGAAACGGTGAATAAGTATTTTATGGCAGAAGTCAGCAGAAATTTTAGCATTTAAAATGTACAACTCCCGGCAACCGCATGCTACCCCTTGGTCATACTAACTCAGGTGATTACGAGTGTCCTGTTTTACGAGTCTGTTAAATACTAAAAGCAATGTACCATATTTGAATCTATATTATTTTGGTGGTTGAGGTGAAAATTAGAAAATTATGTGGTATAGAAAAAGTTATCATGATTAAAAAAGGAATTTTTTTTTTTTATCAGAACTAGTGTTGGATAAAAATTAAGAACTATCGAAACCAGAAGATCAACAAATTAACCACAAAATCACATTTTCTAGTTCTTTTCTTCTTAAGCAACTTCACACTTTCTAAAAAAATTCTTTACCTTAACCAATTTACTTTTAGAAATCAATCAAAACATGTGTTTGAACTAAGCAAAAGAAAAGCTAGAGTCAAAAGCAAAAGCAGCTAGTTATCTAATTTCTGTCTCTCTTTTTCCCTTTCTTTCATTGGCAAATATTAACTAATTGGACATCAATGCATTAGATATCTGAATCCTATTCTTAATTACAATATAAAAATTAGTGACTAAATATGACTCACTTTGCATGACCGTTAAGACTGTAGAAACATCAACCTCTGTCAACCGCTTGCTAAGCATTGTTAGGAAATCATACACCAACTCACTGAAAATCATCAAATGGGGAATCTAATCAGAGGGGAAGAGATAAAAGAGAAAATATTAGGAAAAAAATATGTCCACTCTTCTCTTACTGTAATAATTCAAGTAATGCACGGCAGTTTCTAATAGTAACAACATGCTATGACATTAAAAATAATACATAATTTCAAGAAAAAAGGATTTGTAAATGTAAACTGTGCATGATAGACGGCCATGCCTGTGCAAATGATGCTTATACCAGGGTTGAGAACATAATTCACATTAACAGGTAAAAGCTTTTATAATCATGTTACTAACCTTGAACAAACTCCGAAAATATATAAATAGGAAAAGAAAAGAGTTAGATTCCGCAAAGACAAATTGTCTTCTTCAAGATACTCTTCCTGGAGATTGAACACAGTGAATTAGTCACAGACTAAAGGAAGCAGCAAACCAAGAAATTTTTCAGGAGCAAAAAGCTTCATATTTCAATAGTGATATGGGTTTAAGTCAGAACTCTGTATTTTTAAATACTAATCCATGATTATGAAATTTGTGAACAGATCAAGAACCTCAAAACATTTAGCAAGACACGCAAGAAGCTTTGCACCAAAGTCAATCCCAACCAAACAAGCCATGCCAGCAACAAAAGCTGCAAAAACAGCAGCATACCTTCACATAGAAATATTGAAAGCAATGTCAATCACAATCAAGATGACAAAAAACAAATAAAAGCCAACGATATATTGTTTGGAGTTCCTAACAAAAGCAGTGCAGAAAACTCTAGATCTCACAACATATGTAATTACGTGTGCGGGCGCAAAAAAAAGTTGGAAAACGCAAATATAGCAACAACACTAACACCCAGAGAAGCTTCAGCGGCTATATCAATAATATAGTAACAGATGCACTAAAGATTGGCATTGGTGTATGAGAAATGATAATACTAATTCACATTTTCATATGATATCTGTGAACATCTAAAAAATCTAGAAAATAAATATCAACACCAATTTGGCAATGTTGAGACGTTACAAAAAATGTTCATAGAAAATTCTTTTGGTGTTAGTTAATGAGTTGCCTGACATTTGATATGCTATTTGACTATTTTTTCATATAGGAAAATGAAAAGGGTCATTTGTTAGTTAGTATGTTCTAAAGTTCAAAAAAGCAACAAGTTGGACAGTAGCTTTAATTATCTTTTTGTGTATGAGCTAAAAAAAGGGGCACTAATCAGAAAAGGCGATTCACCAAATTTTCGAAACCGTTTCTGTTTTTGTTAAGTATCAGATAACATCCTTTGGTTTGTTTTTACAGAAGCAACAGCTTTTTGAAAATTGTTTTCACAATCTTTTTTCTCCAAAAATTCCATAATGATCAACTTCCCACTGCTCCTGCTGTTTTCCGGAGTAAAAGATATGTTCTCTTGAAAATTACCATATAAATTCTAAACAAATCTTAATGATGCTTATTCATACATGAAGCAGTATAAGTCCCAGACTTGGATACTGCATGTTCTTAATCAAAATGAATCAGTATCGTCTGCGTATATAATCGTGTTCCATCTCACAACTCTAGCAGTTTACTTGCTGAAGTCCTACAGTATTAACTGTATGTCCAAAACAAAAGGGTGATAGCAGCACAAAAATGAACGGGTTTCCAATACCTTCAGATTTCCAAAATACAAGATCCTAGAGCAACATAAAGCACATGATGAAAAAATCTAATTTGCAACAAAGATCAAAGAAATATCCGCACAACAATAGAGGTTCTCAAACCGAATTGAGCATAAAAAATTTAAGCTTATTTCATAGATATGGAGTTGATGCTCCCATTTTCCCAAACCAGCAAATCAACAAAACTGATAAATGCGAAATATCGTGATGAATATCAAATCAAACTGAGATGTGTAAACTTGTAATTTCCTCTTGACAATATTATGAAGCCTAAATTCATTTTTTGTATATGTTATCCCACTAGAGCTTGGAAAAAAACCAACTTGATTCTGGAATCCTCGAGTGAAGAATTCATAAAAGCCATACAAAAGAAGAGATATGCCCATTCTTGCCCCATCCTCCTATAGCATATGCTAGAACTTTTTTATTAGTTTTTCACTAATTAGTCATAAGTACAGGAATTCTTAATAAGGTGATTCAGACTCAATTATGACTTACTAATTCCATTCAGCTGGAGCAAATCGGACAATAATAAGGTAGTGAAGAGAATTAAAATTAAAAGGGGGGAAAAAAACAGATTCTTAACTGGTTGTTGCCACGAGGACCCCCAGAACACGATGCCACAACCTCTTCGTGAACAATTTGGGAACCAACACTGCGACCAACAGACTGCACAGTAGAACATAGCACAACTGAGACTCCAGATATCAAGCAGTACAAGCATAAAGATCTAACAATAAAACTATATCCATAAAAATAACAAAACACGATTAATTTGTTCCAATATTTTTAAAACCAGATCTAAAAATTTATTTTTTATTGTCAGTAGGACTTCCATTAAAAAGAATAACAGCTTCCTTATTCCGCCAACTCTTCAAGTACACAGTTGCAAAACCCGAATATATTATTCTACTAAATTGATACTTATGTTCCGGTATTCGGCCAAATTCTTTAGTAGGCATATACAAAACCTACATTCATAATCTATATAAAAAAATTCAAGTAAAATTCAAATGACCTGTCCTCAATCATTCTACAGTTTTAAAACACGTCAGTGCTTATACATGTCATTAACACAACGAAGAAATGGCTATGATAATTAGTAACTTACCTTGAGTATTGTAAAAATTTCACCCGTGATTGATTCCAAATTGGATTCTGATAACCTGTTTAGAAGTCCTGAAGAAATTTTATGGAGATTATGTATTGAAATCAATAACCACAACAGGATATCATGCTAAACTATAACATGATGTAGCTAGTTTCATACCTCGTATTTGTCTACGTATTTGAGCATATTCTTCTGATTCTTTTTTAGCCTGAGATCGAAGATGAGGAGCCACATACTTTCCTGGCACATGACAAACCTGTTCTGATGTCACTTCTGCACCAGAGGGTTCTACTAGTTTGGATACTCCAAAAAATGGGTCAACTGCCACCTTAGCTCTTTTCTCTTGATCGATGGACTTTCGCTTTTTAAGTCTCTCACCTGAATAGCTGTTATCAATGCTCTTCTTGGGATCTTCATCAGAAGTTATTAGTTCATCCCTTAAGGAATCAAGCACTGAAGGAATTTCCTTGAATAACATGTTAATGGCGTCATTTTCTCCACTTAATCTCCCTTTCTTCACCTTGAGATTCTTTGCTAGCTTTTTTTCCAATGCCAAATCTGCTTCACCTGAAAGCATATCACCCTGCCTTTCAGTCTCAAGATACTTTTCGAACTTTGTCTTTTTCCTATTACGCTTCTTTGAATCCTTATGCAAGACCACTTCCGCAACATCATCATGTTCGTCACTAATAGCATCAAGTGTATAAGATTCTTCATCCACATTATCAACCAGCTTTTCAGCCTTGGATTCTATATCGGCAAATTTACTTGTCTTTCGTTTTTTGTGCAATGTACCATTATCAAAGTTCCTTTCAATCCCTTCTTCATCTTCCTCCAGATTGCTTAGAATAGAAGGTATTCCTTCGAGTAACATGTCCATATCATCACCAGCTCCTTGCAACTTTCCATTCTTGACCTTGAGTTTCTTCGCAAGTTTCTTTTCCAACTTCAAATCTTCCTTCACCAACAACGCTCCTCCCTTCATCTCCCGTTCAAGATACTCGTTAAACTTGCTTTTTGAACCTTTAATCACAGCATTCCTTTTCAAATTACTCAATTTACCCTCAAATTTCTCCTGAATTTGAGGCTCCTCAATGCTGTCCTCGATATCCTTATCAGATAGTGCTAAACTAACATCATACTTTCTCTCATCCTTCTCATCCTCTTCTAATTTACACACTTTTTCTGAGTTCAAATTCAGCGATGATTTTAATGCTTTCCACGATTTCTAAATTAACAAACAAAAAAAAAAATATTCACTTAAGAAAAAGCTCGCCCAATTAAAATTTCATGCTTTAAAGTCAACAGAAACATAACTAATTACAGGGAAAAAAAATTGGAGAGGAAGAATTTATTTGCTATATAATTACTTGATGTTGGACCCAAGAATCAAACTTCTTCTTGTTCTTTGATAAGCGGGCTTCCCTTCTTCGCTCCCTGCGAGATTTATTGCTGGAATTTTCGTCTGTAAAAGGGTAGTGAAAATCATAAAGAAAAAAAAAATTCTACATTACTCTTGCTTATAAAATAGTTAATATAGACCATAAACTGAAAATTAGCAGAAAAAACTTACCCATTATAGAATTGTGTCTCTGCTAATGCCAATTAATTTATACTTGAGAGGTATTATAGTGAAAGAGAAACAGATAGTTGCAGGCTCGTTAGTCAGCTAGGGCGGCCTTGGCTATTGAACGGCCATAATAACGAGGTGATTTATTAATATCAAATTAAATAATATTTATAAATGTTTCGAACTAAGTTTTAGTATTATTATTGGCTTAGCACCTGTTCAAGTGACCTTATGCAAATCGATGGCAGTCGGCAGCAAGCAGGTCACAACTCCAACTCCTTCAGCATCGGATCGGGCTGCGCAGTCTATAGGGAATGGGGGGTTTTGAAGTCTTCTGTGTATGCTTGCAATTTTGCAAGCTGTTTCTGGCAAAGGACGCTATGCATAATATTAATATTAGTGGGCCTATTGATTTATTTATTTTTAAAAATCATATCTAAAAGATTAAAGTATAAAAAGTATTTGGTACCAATTTGTTGGAAGATTTGATGAGTCTCACACGAATTAAAAAAATAAAATTTAACATAAAAACTTAAGAAAATAAAATTGTACTATCAAAACTCAATTTTTATTATTCAGATTTTTTTGTAATGATGAAATATTATAAATGAGAAATTTTTTATATTACAATTGATTCATAAAAATTAAATGTTAATACATAAATTTATATACCCATTAAAATTTCTAAATACATGAATATGAATAAATTCATCTATAATAACTCTGGATTCATGTAATTCAAAATTCATCAAGTGAAAATTTATTGTGAATGTTAATTAATAGAGAATTAATTCCACAAATTTCATAAATGACAATAATTATATAATATTTATTACATATCGAAAAGCAAGAAATTTTTAAAATAATTGAATTATAGGAAATTAAAATCGTCCAAAAAATGATTTTCCCTTAATGTGTTAATTTAATATATTATAGATAAACAAAGTTTAAAATATCAAAAATCAGATATTAATTAAATTTCATTTATGAAATAAATAATTTAAAATATAATTTATTAATTAAATATATTAAGGTCACGATTCTATACTATGTGGTCCCAAATTTATGAATTAATTGATCATAAATTATTTCTCAGTTATGAATCAAAAATTTATATGTCACAATTTATTTATCAATCAGAAATAAAAAAAATTATAGATTACAATTTATTTATCGATTACAAATAACAAATTTTATAAGTTACAATTCAAAATTTTAAATCACATATTATTTATTGCTTATAAAATATCAAATTTACTGGTCACAATTTCAAATGATCGGTAACATACACCTCTACACTATACGACACCACACCACCCGCCCACAACCACTAACCACAACCATCATCAATGCATCAGCACCATCACTACAAGAATAACCACCACCACAAGCACCATCGCCACTGCCAAATACATCACCTCTAGATCCTACACCAACAATCGCTTGCTCAACAACTACCTCCACCTTCATTTGCAACTCTAATCGACCACTACCAACATCTGCTAGAATCCACCATCTCATACAACACTACCACACCATAGCCACCACCCTACCAGCAAAACCCCCAAACCCGCAACAATTACCAACATTTTGTGGTAGTATCTCCAATCAGCTGCTTTATCAGAGTTCCAAACAATGCACAAGGGTGCCAACTTTATGAGCGGCATGGTGTCACTTCGAGCCACACGCAACGATTGATAGAGGATGCTTCACGCGATCATGGTGCGATGAGCTGTCGCCGTCGACAAATAGAGAATGAAGGAGATAGCAAAGGCGATGGTGGCACACGATGGCGATGATGGGTACACGATGCTTCTCGCAACGGTGACATGTGACTATGTCACCGACAAAGAGAGAGTGGAGAAGGGGATGAGGGAGATTGGAGAGAGACAGAGAAGAGGATGAAAATTTTAGGTTTAAAATTGCCGGAGAGTATAGAGAACAAAGAGAGAAATTTAGGCTTTGAGAACGAGGTAGAGTGAATATGTAGGTTAATTAATTTAATTTTATAATATTAAAATATTAATAAGTAGCTAAATTTTGAAAAGGAAAATATATATATATTTCCATCTATTTTGTGAATTGTGCTTTTTAAAATACTGGGTAGATGTAATTTCTACAAAAAAATAAAGGGTAAATTAGGTTCATTACTGCCCAAAAATAAGAAAATTGAAAAATAGAAAGCATCACAAATAAATAGTAGAAAATACGTTGCTTTCCTTTTAATTAGAGCAATGTTATGTAACTCCACTGTAGTTACAAGCCCTGTTTAGGTGGCATTAGATTACAGGTTTGATGAAAGGTGGAATTAAATGAGTTATTTAATTCACCTATCAATTAATGTCACATTAATGTTAAATTAAATTGAGATTACAACTCTTTTTAAGTTAAATAGCATTACTCTTTATCCTTTCTGAGCCAAAAAAGGGCTCAAGTTGTCTTTTTATAAATTTCCACATTTGGGCTTTTTGCTGGTACAAATCTCCGGTTCTTAAACAAATCTGCTTCCAGGTCAAATTCTCAATCATCGACGAACAGGTAAAATAACTACGAATTTATTTTCAGCTTCTGCACACGTCAAATTCGGATTTCGAAGAGAAATTTATTTCATTTTTATACCTAAATTTCTTCAGATTCTTATATCTAAAATATCTAGGTTTATCATTGTAAGTGAAGCAAGATTTTGGTAAAATGAAGGCTGTGACTGAACTTGTAGATGAACATGTTGTGGGTTTCATTTCAGATGGATGGACTTATTTTTTTTGGGGATGTGGATTATTTTTCTCCAGTTTAGGTGTTGAGTTTGGGGATGTTGACTATTCTTCTCATTAAGGCATTTTTTTTGTATGCTTGTTAACAGTAAATAATATAGTCCCCGTTTGAGCCCCATTACATTAAATTTCATTACATTTTATTTTTCTCTCTTCTATTTTCTACCACACAATTTTTCATAAAATAATATTACACGTAAATCGAAAACTTTTCATTCTTTTTCAACCACTCATTTTTCAAAAAAACACTATTTCACCCATTAATTTTTCCACGTAATGAGGGTCAAACACGGGCATAGTATATAGGGTAATTACGAGCCTCTGCTTTTTGAGCCATGTTCTCTATTTTAATATTTTTGTTTTTCATTTGGACGTGGGAACAAAAAGATCTAACTTAATTTATTTTGTATTCCCCAACTAGTAGAAATTATGCTACTATTCAACATGAAAGAGATTCTGTTCAACTTGAAAGGAATTGTTGTAAGTTACCTAATCTTTTTCTTTGCATTCAAAGAAGTACTTAATTTTTTTTTTTTAATGTTTTGTGATACATTCAGGGAAAAAAAATTTGAGATCATGGGTTGAAATAAACGATTTTGTACAAACAGCTTAGGAGTGGAAAGTTGAAAATCACAAAATGATCCCTGAATGTTTAATTACATTTTGATGTTGATGAATACAAATTGGAGATGATGAATTCTGTCGAATGTTTTTCCAAGGGAGGTGGAGCGGACTTGGGGAATGCAGGAAAAACAACGGTTGCATCTGAACAAGTCTTGACAAAAGATATTGAACTCAGAGAGGCATCAAACTTACCACTAATGTATTGTGTTTTTAGAATGTGGTACTGTGGGTTTTTATATTTTGTGAAGACGCAGCAGGGAAATTTTATCTTTGTTGCACAAGTTTCGACATCTTTGTAGACTTGTTTGTACAACCATTTCATTCACTGGGTAAATTCCATAAAGCGATGTATGGTCATATGTAATCAAAGAACCACCTGATTCGCAACTTTGTTGATATGGGACCAAACACTTCGAGTTAGATTCACTTTATTGAATTGATTCCAATATCTTAATTGTTATTTTGTCACTTTTTTTGAGTGGCACTTTTTTTAATTTTTGTCACTTTTTTGAGTTTGTTAATTTTTTTTTTGGGATTTTGTAACTTTTTGAGCCTTTGTCACCTTTTTTATTTTCTGTCACTTATTAAAAATTTTTGTCACTTTTTTAAAGATTTGTCAATTTTTTAATCACCTTCTTAATTTCTATCACGTTTTTTAGTGACAAGCTAAAAATGATATTATATGTCATTTTTAATTTAAAAAAAAGTGACATTGTGTCACTTTTTAATATTACACAGTATTTTTTTACTTTCAATGAATTATTCATGAGTTTTTAAAAGATCTTTTTCATTTTAAGAGTGTTTTTGTAAGTTTCCCCAAAAAAAAGCTCAAAGTAAAAAGAATTTTTGGCGCAAACTCAGCACTCATCTTCCTCACTCTCCCTTCATTCTTAACTCAGCACTCTTCTTCCTCACTCTCCCTTCATTCTTAATCTTTCTGCAGCCTGCAACAATGGTGATTGCCCAATGCCCTCCCTCCCAACCTTATAATTTCAAAGATGTCAGCACAGGCAATTGCGCTAACACATCGGGTGCTAGCTCCACCAGATACCAATAGCAATTTGATTTAAGGCATCACAATGAACAAGATAAAGAAAAGAACGAAAACTCGAGCGTCAACTTTGTTTTCGGTGATTTTACAATTTCTGAAATCTTTGATAATAGATTCAAGAGGAAATTACAGAAAACCATGTACTAAAACACCTAAATTCAAAATTCAAGGTTGAAATTTATTTATGCAAAAATCAGATATTATATATAATTAACCCACCCAATTCAATTAAAAACCATAATCATTTCCCCTCTCTCTTCATTTCACTCACTCTCCATCTCCCTCTCGTCACTGACTCCTTCTCTTCATCTGCCTAACTCCATCTCACGTCTCTTCTCCGTCAGACGCTGTTGCCACCAGAGCATGTCATCGCTGGAGTAACCTTCGCTGGTGCTACTGTAATGAAGAAGCACCATGTCGTCGCACTTTTCCCATCTCGAATCACCACGAGCTGAGGTAGTGAAATAAAATCGCGAAGTAAATCCATCACTCTGGTGGTGAAATGAAATTACCAGAACATTGTAGCAGCCGCGTGAAGCAAAAGGTTGGTGGCGATTTTGTGAGTTTGAACTGTGTTTTGTGTGGTGGTGTTGGTGATGGCAATTTTATGGTGATAGATCTGACAGTTTGGGTAGGGTTTAGATGGTGTTTTGTGTGCTGGTGGTAATAGTATTTGTGTGGTAGATATTTTGTGCTGGTATGTGACCATTATTTGACGCATTGACCAATCATTTAGTTATCTATGACAAACTGTTTAAGTTTGACTTGAGAATTTGACAATCTATGACCAAATAATTTGACTTTGAAGTAATCTTAGACTTGTAAATTTTGGATCTGTGACCTACAAAATTTTAGATTTGTGACATCAAAATAATCTATGACCAATTAATTTGATGATATGCGACCAGAAAATAAATT